TGACCGCCAACGATCTTAAAGGACGATAGGGAAAAATGGAAAAATCAATGCTGACGTTTTTGGATCAGTCGTGTCTTATATTGCCACGATTTGTCAAACATTCATTCACACGACGAGGCATACCGCATATGAGTCCTCAATAGAGATTTGAGGGAGTCTGTCCCTTTCCTCTTGCAGCGCCTGGCCAAGTTTAGTCTAAAAGAGGGGTGGTGTGACAATGTAACAATTAACAATGTCAATATCGGGTGTGACTACCATTTGCGTTGGTACAAGCGAGACAGCGGCGGCGCATTGAAGACTCCTGATGATTGAAAACAACCTGGGGGTTGTTGTTACAACAAAAGATTGGCCCAACTGAGTTAGCGTTATCGGGCGATTCTGAGCCTGGCGTTGGCGTCTACCCATCCCATCCCAGATATGTTCTATGGGGGAAAGGTCTGGAGAAACATCCGGTTTGACAGTACATCAATGTTATGCTGGCTCAAAAAGTAACTATGTTACTGGGAGGGCATTATGCCGCTGCAACGTGACGTCACGTCCCTGCATAATGTAAAAAGCGACGTTAAACCCAACTCACTCACTCACTCACTCACTCATTCACTCAACCTTAGTTTAGGGTCGTTTTGTACAACGGCAGCCTGAGGGTATCGGTTGACCCTAGCACGACCATCAGAGCTGTCCAGATGAAACCTGGACTCATCTGTGAAGAGCAAAATGTCCAAGTGACCCGTGAAAATTCCGGGGTAGAATAGGTCTTAGGCAACCCAAGCTTGCCGTAAAAGGTGACTATGCTTGTCGTAAAAGGCGACTAACGGGATCGGGTGGTCAGGATCGCTGACTTGGTTGATGCATGTCATCGATCCCAATTGCGTGGGTCGATGCTCATGATATTAATCACTGGATTGTCTGGTCTGACTCGATTATTTACAGACCGCCGTCATATAGCTGGAATATTGCTGTGTGCGGCGTTAAACAACAAACCAACCAACCACACTGCCCAAGTCTTGTCTTCTGAATCTCCGAGGCTGTCTACACCGGCGATTTTTATCAAGTCGTGGCACTGCGTAAGCGTTATGTACAGTTAAATATAAGTCATTTAACAACAATTGTGTACTGTTCACATTCAAAAACCAGGTGTGTGAGTATCAAGCCCCCAACAATCACGCAAACATCCAAAATGTGCACCGGGAATTAACAAGCACTAGACTACACCTGCAAATTGTGAATAGCGACCTTTTAAGTCGAGGATAAGTATTCATGAATATGTAATGGAAGGTGTTTTATTTAATTTCAAAATTCTTTTTATTGAACTTGATATGAAGCACAGTTACTTGTTTCGGTTAGTATTAGAATAGCGGCTCCGTCCCCTTCCTGGGGCCATGTGTATGTTTTTACCTAATGGCTCATGGAGTGTGCACACACCAAGCAGATATGTACGCATGGCACATACCACTGTCTACCATGTCATCATGAAACGTGTGAAGTCCGTCATTTAATACTGGAGCGATGAGGTAGCCTAGTGGTTCAAGCGTTCGCGCGTCACGCCGAAGACCCGGTTCGAATCCTCACATGGTCACGATATGTGAAACGCATTTCTGGTGTCCACATTGTACAACAAGTGAAGTCGTAATATTGCTGGAAAACTACTCACAGTGTGTTGGGGTTAGCCTTGAGACGTCGTTAAAATTAACAAAGAAGTTCTTATTCATAAACGTGTCCATCTTCTTCAAGTTCCTCCAACTGCTTGTGAGATAAAGGTAGGCCATGTTAGGTGGCATAATATATCATATATGTTCCTTGTTTGACTATCACTATCAGATGACTGGACCTAAATATGTTTCTAAGGTTGACAAATCCTTAACTTCGTGTAAGGAAGAATTTAGTCACGGTGATCTAAACTTGTCTTTGACATTTAAAGAAGTGAGTGAGTGAGTGAGTGAGTGAGTGAGTGAGTGAGTGAGTGAGTGAGTGAGTGAGTGAGTGAGTGAGTGAGTGAGTGAGTGAGTGAGTGAGTGAGTGAGTGAGTGAGTGAGTGAGTGAGTGAGTGAGTGAGTGAGTGAGTGAGTGAGTGAGTGAGTGAGTGAGTGAGTGAGTGAGTGAGTGAGTGAGTGAGTGAGTGAGTGAGTGAGTGAGTGAGTGAGTGAGTGAGTGAGTGAGTGAGTGAGTGAGTGAGTGAGTGAGTGAGTGAGTGAGTGAGTGAGTGAGTGAGTGAGTGAGTGAGTGAGTGAGTGAGTGAGTGAGTGAGTGAGTGAGTGAGTGAGTGAGTGAGTGAGTGAGTGAGTGAGTGAGTGAGTGAGTGAGTGAGTGAGTGAGTGAGTGAGTGAGTGAGTGAGTGAGTGAGTGAGTGAGTGAGTGAGTGAGTGAGTGAGTGAGTGAGTGAGTGAGTGAGTATGCTTTTACGCCGTTTTTAGCAATATCACGGCGGGGGACTTAAAGAATTAAAGTAAGTGGATTGTAGAGGGAAATCTAGATATGCAGATTTATATATTTGTTGTTGTATTTATATATTTGTAGATATGTAGCGACACCTGACCATTTGTTTGGACATGATGCGTTGTCGCAACCATGTTCGAATTAAAAAAAATTAATGAAAGAATTTTGTCTTATCATATTCTGCAGTTGATTGATAATTAGTGTAGTTTCACTATACGTACATACATACATACAGGCATGCACACGTAGAGCCTTATATATTTTGAATAAGTGGTTAAGTAAAATGCTTTATACCAAGTTTGAAATTGATTGATCAAATAACTGGAATAAACTGAATGACAGTCATAGAAGAGATGCTCCAACGTCTCATATTCGTCATTGCAGAAGTTCCACTTAAAGTCTGTAGATATTCCTATTCTGTATAAAAACGATACAAACGATGCTGTATTCATTGAACCATTGAAAACATAGAGAGGTGTTCATTTGATAGCGGTTCTCCCACTTTAGATTTCCATTTGGTGGCTAAGTGGTTCACTCGTTTTATAACACAACATTTGATAGATAAGCTTGCTGTCTTTATACGTTAAAAGACGTAACATCAGTGCTTGTCGATTCTATATTGACGGAAAGAAACTTAAAATATTTTAATGTTATAAAATTGAGAATCAATCTATGTCTGTCATCTTGCCAGAATTTGATTTGCAAATCTTAACTTATGTTTTGAATTTATTTTTTTAATAATGAAGATAGTACCTTTTTTCCATAGCATTACGTACGGTATAGCTTGAAGTAGATTCACTGCTCTGACTTAATGCCCTGAGCTGATGATGAGCCTAACCAGCCTGACTGTGCCAGGATCACGGTGCAACAATGTAATCTTTGTGGCAGACAAATTCATATTTTTCAACAGTCTGAAGCATAATTTTTGTTTTCAAGTATTTTCGGGGACAATTTAATTGTTGTCGATAAAATCCCATCCTTTTGGTTACTGATGCCTTAAGAAAATGGCCTCCACATGTCCACTATAAGACCTTTTTGAAAGTTTTGCTGAGGCCTTGAATGTTGTAAACCTTTGTGAGAAAAAGTCATATATTGCTTTTTTAAAAATTCGTAGCGAAATGTAGACCTCTGGAGTAGGATGAATATCGCTACACATAAATGGAAAGTTGAAAATTGGAAACTTGAAGTCATCCTTCTTAAGATCGAGTGTTGAGGATAGTTTTTGTCATTCTGAATTTTTAGGCATATTTATGAAATAGATGAGGCGGTTTCACTGGTCACTTTTATTTCGATATACCTGAAACTTTAGTTAAACTTCTTGTTTTGCTTTTGCCAATCCGAGCAGAAATTCCGATTCATATGCATAAAGAAATAGATCAACAAGAGGATGATGTCTACTTATCAAGAAAAAAACATCAAAACTTTCACATATTATTTTTTTCAGTAAACCTCAGATGACGTTTGCTTTCATTTTTGACAAATTGTCCTGAATATCTGAAGATGTTTTCTCAACCCACTCAAATATTGCCACTGTCATGAAAATGATCATGCTCACAGGATTTGTACATCATGTGATTAAGCTGTGGGAGACGAGTATCACTTATATTAAAATGCCCAAGTCTTTCATACTCAAGAAACCTCATGTTATCCTAATATTTATGTAAACACCCAACTCAAGAAAAAATTATCTTTCTTGTTGAATGTAATTTTAAGCCATTCATGATAAAAATAGCTGAATATATCTAAGAATATTTGTGTAAGTATTAAAATAATATTTATTCTGTACTGTTTATTTATGTATTTTGTAAATTACTATATAAGAACTGTATGTTGACTATGACACTGTATGTGATTCAAGAGCATGCTTGTCTAAGGCGACTAACGTGATCGGGTGGTCAGGCTCGCTGACATGGCTGATGCATGTCATCGTATCCCTATTGCGTAGATCGATGCGCATGATGTCAATCACTGGTCCAGGCTCGATTATTTACAGATCGCTGCCATATAGCTGGAATATTGCTGTGTGCGGCGTTAAACAACAAACAAATGTGATTCAAAAGAATAAACGTCTTCTTTTTCTTCTTCGTCGTCGTCTTCCTCGAGAAATATTTGTTCATGTCAATCCCTGATTGAGATGGCATCATGTGTTACCCAGAGAAGGCATGAAGTTACCAACCACCAATGACCACATCCGTTGTCGATCTATGATTCTTGTATACTTGTACATATTGCTACTTCAGTCATTGCAATAAAGTGATGACAATTGATGATAATATTTCAAATAAATGTTTTATTTTGGTTCTTAAAAGAAAAGAATAAATGTTTTAAACATACTTTTCTCAAATGCTGCAGACAGAAGTATTAGAAGTAAATGTAGCATCATTTTCTGTAATATTTCCAAGTGTTAGTAGTTTCTAAATGCCCGAATTTCAAATACACTTTGAAGTAACATTATTGTAGAATAAAAAGAATATTGCATTTGACCCCTAGGAATGAGGCTTCTGTTTATGTACACAGTTGCAGGCCTTGATTTACCCGTTATAAAGATTAGCCTGGAGACAACGGAATTCCGAGCGAAGTGAATTTTATTACCACTGCATGGGTTACGTTCTGGCAGATGCGTCCAATCCAAAACATGTTCAGCTGTGCCTTTGAAATTTTCACATTGAAATGATCTGCGTTATCATTTGTCTGACAAAATGTTCTTTCTTATTTAGGAGCAGTGCAGTGTATCAGTTGATATTGTTCTCATCACATGGCCAGTACATAGCACGTAGATATGACACAAACACATAAGGGCAATAAAAGGCACGCAGGGGATCCTTGATTCATGACGTCATCAGGCCATGACGTCAGTAACTCATGACGTCATTAAAGTAGATCCGTTACTTGCACGTAGCCATCACCTAAAATAAAACAACACGTATTCAGTTGAGTTAATTAATCGTTCCTTTTATGGTGTCACTTCAAATCAAAGATTAAAAAATACTCTAATGTTCCTATTTCATGGCAAAGTGACATTTTCAAAAACTTCTTTATTGCTCATTAGTGGAATTTTATCTATTGTGTACACGCATGGCATATCCTGGTGAAAATATCATTCTGCGTTTTAACATTTCTTACCTATGAACATGTCTTGTATCATCTATAAAGGCAATATGTATGATTTATTATAGATGTAGATAAAAGGTCACAGTGTTATATTGAGACGCTTCGACAACTGTTGTCACAAGTGAACTTCAGAACTTGTTGTTGTCTGCATGTAGTTATCATGGCAGTGTCTGCTTGGATTTAATTGCCTTCTACATAAATCAATACACACCTGGTAAAGGATTTTACTTCTTTCATCAATTGAATTTAATTACTCCATTATCATTGCCTTGTATTATTTCTCAACATGGGGTCACATGACAGACAAGATCAGTTAGCTGAGAAAAACGCTTTAATTATGATCAACTGTCTTCATTTCAATCTGTTTAGGTACCCACTTTGAGATTTTAAAAAACTTATTTATCAACATCTAGTTTAATTAAGTACATCAAGAATCACAATATTGTGTCTCATTTTCATTTGGAAACCAGATACCCATTCAGCATTGTTCATGTCTTAAGAAACGAGCGTACTTCATTTCACAAGGCATGACTATTAACCTTAGGCACAAATCCATTAGTAAATAAACATATGTTTTCGCGTAGATTACAGTTGAGAACAAGGAGCATAATTCTTGGTCCTCATATGAAAATAGTTTTTCATAAAGCTTTCATTCTCGTTTCTTGTAATCAAATCCATTATAATGATTTCATCCCGAATTGGCTTGGATCTAAGCATACATTATTGATTTCACTGTTATACTTGCATCAACTGCTGTGTATGAAAGGGAATCGACTTAAACCTTCATGTCAATTATTATAGCGTACAATTTGAGTGTGGGTTCAAATCAAACGAATATGATCTTAGTCATATATTTGAGAAAAATGAATGTCGAAAACCAAACCTCTGACTGACAAAATATATGTCTTGCGCACAACACCACCCCATCTCTCTCACCCTACCCCCAGAATATTAAACGATTGATCAATTAATTCATTTCAACTAAACATGAACACATGTCTCTATTTGATTTTAATCGCCCATTTTCAGAACAATGTGTTTGTATGTGTGGCACCTAAAAGTTACTCCCATCAGCCAAATAGCAAGATGTGGGAAGGATCAAAATGCCGGTTATCATTTTTCACAAATGATGTCCAATTTAATTTTTTTGACATTTGTGTGGCAATGGAAGGTATTGTTTGCCAAGGAATGGAAGGGAAGATGTACCGAACCCAGGCTAACCTTTATGTGCTGTTTTCGAAAAACGTTTTACACCAAGTGAGACTAAATAAAATGTGCTTGCGCTCCATAACGATCTGTTACAGGAGCGTGTAAATGTTACTGTTGTGTCTGGACTTGATATGCTATTGTTACACTTAGACATAAAAGAAGTCAGCGACTTTCATTTCCAGAGCAAAAAGGGGTTGTCTGGAATACAGTGCCTCCAACTAGAGTACACAGTCATTTGATCTGTGACTGCAGAAAAATATATAGGCAATGTTTAAAGGTAACTATCGAGCATTCATTCCAAGCGCTGCTCATTCCCAAAATTAGACTTTATTTATCATAATTTAGCGTCACGGTGTTTTATACTCATAACGCCTTATTTTGGAAGATATGTTCAGTCAGGATGTTTTAATGGTTGTGAAGGCACTAGCGTCGCATGCAAACAGGGAATAGGGAACGCAGTAGAGAGAGAGAGGGGGGGGGGGGGGGGTAGAGAGAGACAGACACGGAGAGAGAGAAAGACACACACAGAGAGGACGGGAGAGAGACACACAGAGAGAAATGGAGAGACAGACACACACAAAGATAGAGACACGCAGAGAGCGTGCGTGCGTGCATGCGTGTGTGTGCGTGCTTGCGTGCTCGTACTAGTCAAGACTAATGCCGGTGTTATCAAGCTATCCTGATAAGATACCATGCCTCAGTTTGACATGAATTCCGTACTCGGACAAAGTATACTGTCTCCGAGCCGACCAACCCTTGTTTTATCCCCTTAATACCGAGAGCCAGGCACCGTGACAACAAGTACCATCTTCTAACGTGTTTTGGTATGACGCGGCCGGGTATCGAACCACCGACCTTTCTGTCTCCGGGGAGACGCTCTGACCGCGGAGGCTGTCAGTATCACTCAAAAACTTCTTTTAATATATATGTTTTGTTGACTTATAAGAGCCACTATTGTTTTAAACATCAAGGAAAGCCTATATTTCAAGGCCAGTGATGGATGTAACGTCTCCATGTAAGCTTTAACTTGCTAGCTTTCATTTCAAACATCCATTTAATGCGCTCAACGCTAATAAACCTTCTTTTAAATCATATGTGTTGAGAGCACAATATATTGTTGATATTGCGTAAGGATATTCACCGTCAGTATCCATCTTTTTGGCAACCAGCATGGCAAAGGCATGGTCCTTCTGCATGATGTTTGCCGCCTCCTGAAGTGTCATGTATTGCCTGTGGTGGAAGCAGACTGAATTACATTAAATTACATTATAGGTTATGCAAATTTGAATGCATGGGGGTGTTGTATTTAGTCACAGACAGAAATATTACAGTTGACTAAACCTTCGTTAGTCCGGACCATATGAATCAGGAAACCTGCATATACCGGACGAAAAACGTTTGTTTGTTGTTTGACACCGAAGTCAGATATATTCCAGCTAAATGACGACAGCCTGTGAATAATCGATTCTAGGCCAGAGAACCCAGTGATTGATATTGGGAGAGCGATCAGTGCCGCCGGGGTACGATTATCCGCAATCACCTGACTACCCGATCCATTTGGTCGCCTCGTTCAAACAGCATAGGTTGCTGGGGACCAACCCTAAACCGGAATCCCAACGCAGTTTAATCCTTGCACGCTCATTCACGCCGTGGGGGCACGGGTGGCCCAGTCGTCTAAGGCGCCGCAATTCGCTGTGCAGAGTTGCGTCCCTTGCACACGCCAGAAACCTATGATTGTGGGTTCGAATCCCGGTTCGCCCCGATTATGTTTCTAGGTTTGTCAGCACCATACCCGTGCTCGTGGGTTTCATCGAAGTGGTAAACGTCTGAGATCTGCATCACTTCGGGCTTTCCTCCCACATTAAGCTGACACGCCGTGATATAACTGGAATACTGTTAAAAGCGGCGTTTAACCCAACTTACTCACTCACACACTCATTCACGCCGTCGGAGTACGATGGCAAGCAATAAACCAAGTCCCCGAGCCTGACCACTCGATCCATTATGTTGCCTTGCAACCAGCATAACTTGCTGAGGACCTATTCTAACCCGGAATCCCGTCTATATCCCGTCTGTTTCTATACTCCCAAATCCGTACAGTATTAATCCGAATGATTTAAGTACGAAAGCTACCGTCCGGATAAGCGAGGTTTCACTGTATATCACGGCCGCTCGTTGTGAAATGATCTATGTAACCACCACTGATACCTATGCACACATTCACATAGATCACATATTTTAACATTTCATACATATTTCAGTTAGTCCTTAAAAATTGCCATGGGGCTCTGGTTACTGGAATGTCAAGACGATAAAACTACAGACATACCTTATTCAAGAAGAGGGTCGTAAACGAGAAATTAGTCTACACCGTGTCCTTGTTGGTCCGGACCCGTTATTCTGGACTACCTCGTTAATCGATAAACCCTGCTTTCAGGGCGACAGCTGATAGGAGTGAGTGAGTGAGTTAAAGTTTACCGTCACATCGGCAATATTTCAGCCATATCGTGACGATTAACTCATGGGAATGTCAGTGGGTAACAAATGTTATCAAATACAGGCTTGTGTCTTCGATGCGATAAATCAATCCGATAAACCTGGTATCATAATTCGATTAATATGCAAATTAGGTGACCTGGCAGGAACTACTGTCAACCTCCAAATCTCTATGCGTTTTTTTTTCTCAACAATATTCTTGACTAACGTTCCCAATTTGCTTAAATGTTTTCCAGTGTACATGTCGACAAACATGGGTAGTGATTGAGTTAAGTGAGTTGAGTTGTACGCCGCTTTTAGCAATATTCCAGCAATATTACGACCGGGGGACACTAGAAAAGGGCTTCACACATTGTACCCATGCCTAGTCGGGTCTTCGGCTTTACGAGCGAACGCTTTAACCACTAGGCTAACCCACCGCTTCCCAACACCGCTTCTACAAGTCACTATATTATACATTGGGCGGTTCACTCAAAAGTTATTAATACAAGGTTTCTTAAGTTTCGTCGTAAAATTACGTCTTAAATATCCATTACTTTAAGAATGACATTATATGATGATAAAAGAGGTTATTACCCTCGTGTGTTTCCGCGTCGTAAATGCCTTTAATTAGGATTTAGCAATATGACTTATGCTTTCCAAAGGCTCAGATAATACACTTTATTTTCCTAATAAATGACAATTACGTTAGTTTGTTGTTTAAAGCCGCACTCAGCAATATTCCAGCTATATGACGGCGGTCTGTAATTAATTGAGTTTGGACCAGACAATCCATTAATTGACAACATGAGCATCGATCCACGCAAATGGGATCAATGACATGCATCAAGTAAGTCAGCGAACCTGAGCACCCGGTCTCGTTAGTCGTCTCTTACGACAAGCATAGTCGCCTTTTACGGCAAGATTGGGTTGCTGGAGTCCTATTCTACCCCGGATCATCACGCGTCTGACAATTACGATTCAGAAACACATTCGACTAATAATCTCGGTCTATGTACTGCGAATCGATGAAATCTGTTAATCCGATCTTCTTTGCAGGGAACGGTATTGGAGATTAAATTCGGATTAAAGTACTTCCGCTGTGTAAATATAAGCTTTATCTTCTGAGAAGCCTTGCAATCACCTTGAAACTGTTTGTAGTAGATCGTCTTCCGTGACCTGTGACCTTTTCCCATACAGATACCCGCCAATCCCATAGTGTGCACGTGGTTTCCTGGCGCCACGAGCTACCAAGCGTCGTTCTGATTGGTCAAGTGAACTTCCCTCTGTGACGTATACAATGCAAACGCAGGCGAAGAGGAATAACGTCGCATACGCCATGATGATGGATCTGAAACGACATATCAAAGCATTTGAGTGAGTGAGTGAGTATAGTTTTACGCCGCACTTAGCATTATTCCAGCAACATCACGGCAGGTGACGCTATAAATGAGCTTCACACAGCGTATCCATGTGGGGACTCAAACCCGGGCCTTTGGCGTGACGAGCTAAAGTTTAAACCACTTTGCTACCCTACCAACCCGGAGGCAGCAAGAATGTGCTAGAAACTTTACCCATTTTGAGAATCGAACCCGGGACTTTCAGCAATAACCACCTCCACCGACTCACAACATTAAGCTACCCGAAACGGACGATGTAGAAATTTAAAAGAGATTTGCGAGCAACATCTCAATCATATTGGATGGTTGAGTGTGATGGGTTAACCTCGCAGAGTGTCAGGGGTGGGTGGGGATGGGGAGGGGTAGGGTGGTCGGTGGGGAGGGGGGGGGGGGGCGTTCTTGGGAAGTGAAGTAAATCGATGAAATACTTATCTTAATTTAACGCAAACCGCGTAAGTGGCTTAGCATCAAAATCGGTGCAAATCGTGCATTCAAAAAGGGTGTTATCATGGGAGATAACCTGGTGAACAAAATGTAAAACCATCATTGTTGTAAGGAGCACAGTATCAAACAAAAGCTATACACTGTATACACTGCCGGGCAAAAGAAAGTACCCTCTTGAAAACAGGATTTGAAAACAAAATACATACAAACGTTATCAAAACGTTATTTGACTGAAAACAGAAACACTGGAAACTTAAGGTCCAAAACACAACTATAGTACCCTATCAAATACATCACCATCAAAAAAACATTTCTTATTTGTGTCATTTTAGCCACCGTCAAACATGGGGTATATATTGCCAGTTTAGAAAGCTCTGTCAGATTCACGCACGTATCAAACCTACTGATCACTCGATGCTATCTCCATTCTCTGCATGCTACCAACACTTATCAAAAGCTACTAATGAATAAAATAGTAGTTACCCACCAACTGTTCCATATAGAGTAAAAAAGACCGAAATAGTTCTTTCCCTTTTCGACGTCACGCCGACGCACGAGAGCGTAAATAATAAAAGGCTCCTCTCCCTCTACGCCTCGTTATGAGGAAGTGTCGCGGGACAAGAGAACATATATAATGTACGTTTATGGCCTGTCATTGTTATTCTCATGCTGTGAGTTTAATAATCAACGATACCTTGCCACTGATCTGTGTAATGTCAGGAGTTATTATGCTACGTTAATGTGATTGCTTGATGTAGTGATACCAATAACATATGAGGCGCATTGGGGACGTTTTGGCGTAATAAGCTGATATCAGTCCTCGGCGTGTCTACTAAAAGAATCTCTGAATACGTTTAGTGAAAGTGCTTTTTGTCATTATGTAAAAGTGTATTTTATTGTACACGTATATATTGTCATTATAATGCAATTAATATGAGCGCGTGTTTGAATGTTAATCACTCCGTTTCATGGTTACATTCACTTTTGCGTATTTCCCGTGAACAATTGACTTGCCTTCACATGTGTTTGTGACCAGATGCAACAGGTGGGTCAAAATACGCCCACCTTTTCGCGAACACATGGTATCATAGCGCATTCCTATAACACATTCTCATGTTAGTGTCTGAATCGTAAAAATCGACGCTGCTTTTTGCACATATTTGCATTAAATTTGTGTTTTGTTGCTTTTATTTAACCGGTAATTAAAAGCGAAGATATATTGTATATGCGGATATATTACATGGTTAGTATCTACTTCTTATTTAGATGGATACCGAAAGGACAAGTTATTGCGAAATCCATGCCATTACATTAATAGATAAATCAATCTTTATTCAAGCACGTAAAGGCGGCAGACTATTCTAACCATCATTGACATATTTGTTTCTAGGCAACAGTACACGGTATAAGTATATGGGGATGGCTTGTATATTACAACACTTACATGTTCTTTCTGTTCACGGAACTTGAGTGTATCGCCCTATCTCGATGAGAGGAACATCTACATCATGCTAAATAATGATAATAATAATTATAATAACAATTATAATAATGAGTCCATTTGTAGGGCGCCAAACTCCATACCAGCTCGTGTGCTCATGGCGCTTACATTATTACCCAAGGCAATGGATCAATGAGCACTCGATTTTTATTCTCAGCTCCCTAGGGATCCTGTGAGGCGCTAGAAGGTTAACAGCCGCATTACCATCTCATCCTACCGGGTACCCACTCACTGCTGGGTGAACAGAGGCACATTTCGAACAAAGTCACTTGCCAAAGGAGACACCACATGTGGTACATGTGCATCAGTTTCGGCAGGACCGAAGCCCTAGAAACTCTCAGGAGTCAAGCTGCTGAACGTGCATGGTCACCCATCAATGTATTCTCCGAGACCGACGTTGCTTAACTTCACCTGATTAGTGATCACTACGATATTTCATCATATTAATATCGAGTAGATACTGGTAAGAATATCTACGAGATTTTAATATGCTATAATTATATAGAATGTGTTGGATAAAGTAATCTAAAATGACTACGATTGTAAGTATTATGATGGTGAGTGAGTAATCGTGCATAATTTTACGCCGCTTTTAACAATATAACAGTAAATATCACGGCGGGGGACGCCAAAAATCGGCGTAACCTCATGTAGGCAATTACCCGGGCCTTACGCTTAACCATAGGACTACCCATCACGCCGCCATTCTGCCACCTAATCACCCCACCACCCAAACCTCCTTAAGAGGGTCCCGTTAAGCATGTATTTACGTGTTAAGCATGCAAATATTTATGATTCCTATGTACATCCCTACATGCACAGTTACGCCATTCGACCAGGTAAAGTAGGCCCGCTGTAACCATGTACACTTTATTAAACTAAGTCTAACGGAACATTGATTATTTACAGGCTGCCTTGAAATTTGAAATTTCATTACAATTATGGACTTCGGTTTAACTCTGTTGTGCAGGTATTACTACCGAAGGGGCACATATTTTCACTTACGATTCCTCTCTAACGTAAGCACATTCCACGTGCTTCTTTGCGATATGCGCATTATAGCGATCTTATCCTTAACGGCCTTAAGCCTTAAGGTCAGCCAAAGAACGCTAATTCCAAGCGAAGTTTAATCCCCAATCGAGGCTTACATTATTGTGGTTTTTTAGAGCTACTGTGTCTTATATCCATGTCATTTTTTGCCAAATAGATTCAATCAATTGAGTCAGTTGTCGCGAGGGAAAGCGGAATTCTACTGAGACGTATTGAGATCACGTGTGACGTTAGGTCTTCCAGCCCCTGTGTATTGCTCGATGGCTTTCTTTAAGATCTGAACATGCTTCGTAGAGCAGGGATACCCTGCAGTAAAGGATATATATTTAGCTTTTGAAACTATTTTACATTGATACAAGTACCAGAATTACTTAGGATAAGCAAAAAATGGGACATGAATGCAAACCATTTGTGTGACCATACAAAATGGTGGCTGTAAAAACTGACATACGGTTGAGTTCGGAGCCTCACATATAAGGAATTGCCTAACAGTTAAAAATATTATATAACCATCAAACTTGAGTCATTTGGGCAAATTGTTGCGACAAGTCAGTAAAATAAGCAGGGGTCACCAACAGAAATGATCCAGAGAATCCACCATGTGGTGATAACCGACCGGCGAATGACATATTGCTTGTTCGGCAGGCATTTCTCAAGGGTGAATCCATTCTGTTATCACAGCTCGATGGGTTCCAAAACACGTACCAAGAAAAACTCTTGGTAATTTACCTCTGTTTGAAGCTGATGCAGGAAGGTTCTTGCAACGGTTCGCAACTGACAAACAACAATGAAAACAGTGGAAGAATTTGACATCATCACCACCAAAGAAGGCAAAGACTGTCAAAATACTGTTCTGGGATGGCGAGGTTGTCATGGTGGATTATCTTCCAAATGGCCAGACAACAAACGGAGCTGCACGTTTGAGACAATTACGGGATGACAATAAGAATACGAGGCAGGGGAAGCTGAGAAAAGGTGTGCTCTTCAGCGCACAAATCAGTCATTGTCATGACTGCAACCCAAGAGTGTGGCTCTGATCTCTTACAGCACCATCTTATTCTCCTGATCTGACGCCGTAGGATTTTCAGCTGTTCTCAAAAATGAATCTAAATTGTCATGGCAAGAGAATAACCAGTCTATATTTTCTACCGAACCAGACCCCACTTGGCGTAAAGGGCAAATAGCTGTGGAAATTATATGAATGCACCACTGAAAATCAGTGATGACACCAGGTGTTCGCGAAAAGGGTAAGCGTGTCCTGCCCAAGAAACCAAGAAAGCTCTAGCCCGTCATCATTTTGATTCGAACGATAGCATCTGTGGAGCACTTTTTGAACAGCCGAGAGAGTGGCTTCCAAGAAATTGGGTTAAAAATCTTCCAACATTGTTTGTAATGTAAAAGGGGCTTATGTCATGTCTGTTAGGTCAATTCTTCTGTGTGAGGTTCAGAGCTCATCAATCAAGCTTCGTTAGTGAATTGACTTCATTTCAGCGAAGGCATTGAACCGCTCGGCCACCCTAACCACCTCACCCTATGCCCTGAAATGTTGTTTCACAATAATGCAATTTCACACAGTTTAACATTTTGAAAAATCCTATCCCCATCTCTTCGAGAATTACAAACCACACTCACGCTTTGTAGAGAGGACAAGCCGTTTAGCAAGGCGTCAGTCTGACTCCATCAAATTTATATTCACTTGAAACCAAGGAACTATGAGTGAAGTGTTACACAATGCCTCATTCATAATTAAATACAAACTGATCAATTCCGCACATACAGTTAACGGGTCAAATGTTTCGTTGCTGGCCCTATGATCTTTTCATTCGCATGTGCCATGTTTAACATGTGTGTCCATTAGAATTAATGAGCCATCGCCAATCTCTGATAATGGTTTACACTAAGGACATTAAAGCGTATTGATGTGCTTGTTACTTTAACATCACATAACACTTCTCT